AAACAATTTTCAAAAAACAAAAAAGGTTTTCAGTTAAAAATAATAAAGGAGGGTTGGAGAGATGGCTCAGTGGTTAAGAGCACTGTCTGCTCTTCCAGAGGTCCTGAGTTCAATTCCCAGCAACCACATGGTGGTTCACAACCATCTGTAGTGAGATCTGGCGCCCTCCTCTGGTATGTGAGCATACATGGAGGCAGAATGTTGTATACATAATAAATAAATAATTCTTTAACAAAAAAAAAATAAAGGAAAAAAAATAAAGACATGCAAGGAAGCAGGAGTCCAATGCTAAGCACCATCGCCAGTACCATCAGCATCAATACTAGTACCAGTGTTAGCAGTTGATTTAACATCAGCATCAGTATCCTCAGCATCAGTACCAGCATCATCACTTCCATCATCCTCGTCCTCATCCTCATCCTCATCCTCCTCCAGCAGCAGCAGCAGCAGCAGCAGCAACAGTCTACATTATAGACAAAAGCAGTGAAACTCAATCTGGGCACATTCTCAAAGCAGGTGTTTCCAGTGCAGCCAAATGAGGCAGCACATAGAATTTTGTGTTCTGATAAATTGCCATGGTAATCACACTGTTCTTCTTCATTTGACAACTTATTATCTAGCAGTCAAAGTAATTGGGGAAATTTTATTTCTTTGTTACATGGTTCTAAGAGTGGAAATATCAGGGAAAGAGATGGATGGAGACAGGGGCATCATGCTTCAAGACTCGGAAGAGAAAGAGGCAAAGAGAGGTAGAGATGGAGAGGAAGAGAAAAAGAGGGGGGAGGGCTGAGGGAAGGGAGGGCAGGCACAAGGGAGGGAGGAGGCAGAGCAGATAGCAAGAAAGGAAGTGAAAAAGTGGAAGACAGGATCATGACCGCTGCTAAAAGGAAAAGATTGGAGGGTGTGGGAAGGCAGAAGCTTAGGGCATCAGTGCCAACCGAGAGGCTTCTCAGGCGAGAAGCAGCTGGGCCAGAGTCTAATCAGGGTCTACAGTTGGCAGGTTCCACAGAGAACATCGCTGTCTTTCCTCGGTGAGTTAAGGTTGCAGGCAGTTTCCCTTGGAGCCTCAGAAGCCCCTACAGGGAGCAGCTGCCCTTCAGTGTAGAGACAGCATGCAGACACTGTCCTCTGAGCTATGGCTCGTGCACGTCCAGGGGTCCAGGTCATCTATTGGAGGGGGAACATTTTCAGTCTGACTCACGCTTCAATTTCACAGCACATCCTTGATTTTTCCTGGAGAAAGAAGGGTACGGCCACCAGGACAACTGAGAGCAACAGACACTGTTCTGAGCTTCACTTTCCATGGGATGCTCTCACTGTGTCTGCTGTAGACGGCCAAGAAGGGGTCAGTGAATCCTTGCTGAACTGTCATCGAGGACTTAATTCATTTATTATTTTATGTGTATGAATAATAAATAATGAGTGTTTTGTCTGCGTGTATATATGTGCTGTACATGCATGCCTGGAGCTTGAGGTCAGGAGAGGGTGTTGGGTCCCCAGAGACTGGAGTCACAGTTATGGGCTGCAGGGTGCTAGGAATCTAACCCTGGGGCCTCTGTTAAAGCAACAAGTATTTTTAATTGCTGAGCTAACTCTGTAGCCCCAAGGACTTGTTTTAAGGATCTTTGCTCTGACTCAGCTGCCTGAGTCAATGTGAGGCTCTGCCAACTCCTTTCTGGACCTCAGTGATAGGGACTAGGGGACCCTGAGAGTACAATAGCTCAGCTGGGCCCAACCTGGCTGCAAACCCTCCCTTTGGATCTGTAGGACCGCCGGGCGGTGGTGGCGCACGCCTTTAATCCCAGCACTCGGGAGGCAGAGGCAGGCGGATCTCTGTGAGTTCGAGGCCAGCCTGGTCTACAAGAGCTAGTTCCAGGACAGGAACCAAAAGCTACGGAGAAACCCTGTCTCGAAAAATCAAAAAAAAAAAAAATTGGATCTGTAGGACCAAGAAAGCTTGGTGCTGGTGGACTATGTCCCAACTTGGCTCATCAGCCCCAACCCAGGAGATAATGGAGAAATGGCGGTAGGGTTGGTGATGGGACATTGTCCTGTAGATAGGATTGCCCTGTAAGCGTGTTAAGGAAGTCCATTTACACAGAGTGAAGAGCAAAGCCCTTGGCAAGGAAGCACAGCTCAAGACAAGAAGAGAGTCACAATGACATTGACTAAAATCCTGGGTTGACCTCTGTCTGAACCAGAAAGCATTTGTTTGGAATATGAGGTCCCCCAAGGGCCCATGTTTTGAAGGCTTAGGCTGCCATATGGCAGTGTTCAGAGATGGAGCTCTGGGAGGTGAGTGGATCCCATGCACACTGGGTTTATTCACAGATGGATTCACACATAGTTTTATGATGGAAACGGGGAGACATAGTGTGATTGGAGGAGGTTGGTCACTGGTGGTGTGGCCTTAAACAGGGTATTCTGTTCCTTCTTGCTTCCTCCTTGTGTGTGGTCTACCATGTGGTGAACAGCTTCACTGTGCCACGCACTTTCACAGGGGTGGCCTGCCTTGCCACGCATCCAGAAACAATGGAGCCAACCACCCACAGACGGAAACTTCTGAACCCGTGGGCTGAGAGAAATGCTCCTTCTCTTGCATTGATATTCTCTTTCTCTCCCCCCCCCATCTCTATTTTGTGGTGACAGGGTGGCTCAGTAGTTAAGAGCTGCTCTTCTAGATGCTTCAGCATCTCTTCCTACACAATCTCTTGTTGCTCCAGTTGCTGGGGACCCATTGTCTACTTCTGGACTCTGCAGGCACCAGACATCCATGTGTGCAAATTCACAGATATCCATCTGCCTCTGTCCCCCAAGTGCTGGGATCAAAGGTGTGTGCCACTACACCTGGTTTTAGAATTTTTTTAATTAAAAAAATTGTATGAGGACTGGGGATGCAATTTGGGTGGTGAGGTGCTTGCCTAGCATGTATGAGGCCACAGGATTGATGTACATGTGGTGTGCATGCCTGTAATCCTAGCACATAGGAGACAGGATTGCCCACCAGTTTGAGGCCAGCCTTGTCTACACAGTGAGTCCCAGATCAGGAACTGTTCCAAAAACTAAAGCAATTCAGAAAATAATGAAATTTCTTTTGTTGTTGTTAATACTTTGAGATCTTACTAAGTAGCTCAGGCTGGGTTCAAATTCATGGGCCTCTGCTTCCCATGTGCTGAGAGAAATACATCTTAAGGATGGAAAATAAACACAGTAAGATTATGATTCTGATTTTTGTTTATATAAACATTGGTACTAACCCTTAAGGATCCTCTTGTGAGAGTGCAGGCACGTTTGTTGCATGCTGTGACACTCAGCCACTGGTTCCCCGGCAGCGTGCAGTCCTCTTCCGTGTGTCAGTCTGGTAGAGTTGGGACGGGATTTTTCTCCCTTGAATCTTCACATGGGGACTTATTTGGACTTCAGAATGTGGGAGATCATGCGTTTGATTTTTTAGAGGCCAGTCTAGCCTCTACACATGGCAAATGCAGCCAAATTTCTCCGGACCAGCCCAGCCCCCTCCACAGAATGCTAGACTGCAGGGTCTGCCCAGCTCAGCTTTATGTTGCCATCCAAAGAAGCCATATCGAGTGCTTTAAATCATTTTGTTGTCATTATTCACTTTCTTTTTCAGTGATGGAACTCAAGGCCCTGTGCACAACAGGCAAGGGCTCTACCATGATACTTCATCCCTGGCCCTAGTTCTTTTTTTAAAAAGACGAGTCCTCAGGCCTCTGTATGTGACTCAGACTGGCTTGAAGCTCACTGTCTTCTTGCCTCTGTCTCCCCCCAACTCTAGAGATCTGGGTTATAGGCAGGCACCACAGGTGACCCAATCCATTAATTTTGCAATCAGGAAGCAAAAGCTGAGACACTTTAACCCTACTCCGATGTCTTGTCATCTCTTCCACACTATTCAAAAATTATTTGCCTAGTTTTGGAGACAAGGTCTTCTACAGCCTCTGAGACTGTCAGGTGCCAGGGTTACAGGTGTACCACCATGCCTAGTGACTAAATAGTTATAAGCTTGTTTTGGTTGCTAACACCATAGATCAGTCCAGTCAGCTTAAATAAAAGGGGAATGCAATGAGAAATTTCCTAGGGCTTGTTGAGGGTTAGGGAGAGAAGCCTGGCCTCTGTGGGAATCTCAGCAGCAGCTCCCTTAATTCCTACCAGAAAATGGCTCTGGACAATCCCACAATACCAGATATCAGTTCAGGCTCTCGGGACAGCCAGGTAGGTTGTCTTTGAACCACCCTGCCTGCTTAGTGTCTTTCGTTCAGGACTTTCAGCTAAGAAAGGGTCCAGGCGGACTAAGCACATGTGAATAGTTAACCTGAAGTGCAGAAATCTCAAGAGTTAATTTGCTAAGTGGAAATGGTTACACATCCTGGCTTGAGCCTATTTTTTGAACTATGGCTGTCTTTTCTGAATGCCTTTCCCTTTAAACCTTCCCCGTAGCAAATGACTGCATCAAGACTTCTTTCTACAAAAGCAATCTGTAGCGCAGGATCGCAACAGTAACAACCCTGTAATTCTGTACATTTTCAGAGCCCAAGTCAAAGATCTAAGCCAGGCCCTTGAGCCCCGGAGGAGGCAGGACGGAGGGTGAGGGGGTAGGTTTTATTTATTTATTTGTTATTTATTATTATTTTTTTTTTTACAAAAATTGACCTGTTGATAAGGGTGAGGGCAGGTGAGGCGGCTTGCACTTGTAATCCCAGTACTTGTGAGGTTGAAGCAGAAGGATCAGGAGTTCAAGACCAGCTTGTGCTCTGGAATGAGTTCTAGGCCAGCCTTGGCTACATGAGATTTGTTTCAAAAAGCGGGGCAAGGGAAGGGAATGTATTACAATAAGAAAAAAAAAAAAACAACAACACAAAGCCTTAAGGCCTTTCCGTTCGCCCTGCGTTGTGAACAGAAAGGAAGGAAGCGGAACACATGATTTGGGTCTGGCCCAGGTGCTGGTTGCTCACAGGCACTGGTTGCAGCTACAGCTGAAGCCTGCTCCCGAGGGCGCCAGTAGCGAGTAGGCGAGCGAGCTGGGGGTTCACAGGCAGCGTCCCAGGCGGGCGGGGGCCCGGCGGGCGTGCGGGGAGGTGCAGGCTTCAGGCTGGGGCGGATCCTTCGCCTCCGGCTGCCGTAGGATCGCGGGGCCGCCGCTCCACCGGCGACATCTTGGTGAAGGACGTGCTGGTGGTAACGTTGGACTCCCTGTAGCTGCAGCGCCAAGATCTCTGCTGACCTCCGGAGCACGCAGGATCGAACGCGCAGGAGGTAAGGCTGCTGCTCCCCACTCCCCGCGTAGGAGGGTGCTTGGGGACCTAGATACCCAGCCTCGCCACCCTGAGTCCGGTAGTCTACACCTCTACCCCCACCCGGTGGAGCCGACCCCAGATTACCACCCACGAGTACCACTCCTCTTAGCTAGGTCGCGTCTCCTGGAAGCCCTCCTGGAACCCCGCCCCCGCGGCTACCTGAACCACCGGTCCCTCCCGGCCCGAGACTCCGCCCCCGCCAGGACTCCGCCCCTCTCCCAGAATCACCCCGTCACAGACCCGCCCCCTTCCCCGCCCTTGCTTGCCCCAGCCTCCGCCCTCCGGTCCGGGCGGGGCTCTGGGTTTGAACCGCGCGGCGGGCCGGGCCTCTGAGTCCGGTCGAGCCCATAGGCGGCGGCGCGGAGCCGGCAGTCTGCGGCGCGCGGCACCATGTCCCCGGGCAGTGGGGTGAAGAGCGAGTACATGAAGCGCTACCGGGAGCCGCGCTGGGACGAGTATGCGCCGTGCTACCGCGAGCTGCTGCGCTACCGCCTGGGCCGCCGGCTGCTGGAGCAGGCGCACGCGCCCTGGCTCTGGGACGCCTGGGGCCCGGACAGCCCCTCAGACAGCTCGGCTTCACCCAGTCCGGCGCCCAGGGGTCCTTTAGGGGAGCCCTTGGCGCCCTCCGCGCCGGAGGAGGAGCAGACGGTGGGGGAGCGCGGCGCGGAGCTGCGGGGCGCGGAGGTTGGGGACGCGGAGGAGCAGGACACAGTGCTACCAGGTACGGGCACGGCGAGTCAATCCGAGCTGCGCGTTTCTGCGGCCTCCGGGCGGGCGCCTTCCTGTTTTGGTTTGGTTTGGTTGGGGCTGACAGAATCCGCTTGCTGAACTAAGACGGGAAGGTGCCGGCCGCGTCTCCGCTCTTCCACCCCGGATTTCTCTAATTTGGTAACTCTTGGCGGAGCCCTTTATGACCTCTAAGTGCCCACTCTCCCCACCGTACCGTACCGTACCGTACCGTACCCTACCCTACCCTACCCTACGCTACCCTATCCCCGGGTCTGGAGTTCTTGGTCGCAAGGCAGTGGCGGGTACAGTGAGCCCTCAGTCCACCAGATGGCGGATCTGTTTCTTTCTGCGCATCCCTCTTTGCGAGAGGCTCTTTTCATCTCAAAGATGATCCACGAAGTTAAGAACCCCTGAGCTGTCATAATGGGGTCACGGTTGTCTGTGTGAACTCCTTGGCCTGGCCGCGCTGTCTCTGAAGAATGGTGTGCGTGTTTGTGGACAAACCCTCTTTGTGTACGCTGGTGCCAGCCGCACACCCTGGTTAGGCTGTGAGCCACTTTTCCCGCTGTTGCGAAGTGGGTTTGTCTGCAGAGGGGCCTGGAGGGTGCCGGGGCTCAGGGCGGTGTTTTAGCACAACTGGAGATCACAATGGTTGTCAGCCACCTCCTTGAGAGTTTATGAATAAAAAAGTTATTACTAAATCACTCGAAATACGCATTTTCTCACCCGGCCTTCAAAGAGTCATAAAATGGGGCCTTTGTTTTTAATCTCAGTTTTGTAAACAAAGACAGAGTCTGAAAGGATCCGATTACTTTGCTCTTGGTTACTTTGACTATTCTCAGTTCCTGCCTGGCGGGGTCGCCTGTCATCGTCATTGGGTCGCTTGTGACAGCCACTCCTTCAGTGATATGGTTAGAAATTGGCGTGGCAGAAGGTGTGCGTGTGTGTGTGTGGACTAGGAGTGCGTCTCCCAGTTATTCCCGTGCAAACTGAGCCCTAGCTATGAGGTTTATTTTATCTGAATGGGTACCAGGCTTTTATTTTTCACTCCGTGGTTTGATGGGGTTACCCGCTATCAGTGTTCCTGGCTCTATGAAAACTGTTGACAGTACTTTTTTGGTGCCCGCGTTTGCCTACGTAGGAGTGCCCCGAGTTCATGATTATTTGTGTTTCCATGGAGATGCTGAGAACAACCCCAAAGATTCGCTAAGTCCCTGCTAAAATTTTTGGTGCGTAGGCATTAGGGAATATAGAAGATGTGTCCTGCTTAGGATTCCCCATAACCAATTCTTTTCGTGGCTCCTGGGGGCCAGTGTCAGTTTGAGACATGCTTCTGGTGCTTGGTATGCTAGACTGGTGAGCCACTGGTTGCCTTGCTCTAAAATATATTCGTCTTATTTTTACTGCAAGCCATTATTATTTTTTTTTAAGATGGGATTTCTTTGTGTAGATCTGGCTACCCTGGAACTTACTCTGTAGATCAGGCTGGCCCTAGACTCAGAGATCTGCCTGCCTCTTCCTCCCAAGTGCAGGGAGTAAAAGCTTGGGCCACCGTTGCCTGGCTACAAGGCATTTTTGCATGAAGAATCTTGTAGCTCTGTGAAGCTTATTAGAAAATCATGGTGCTCCCCAGCAGCTACCCACTTCTTAGGTAACCTGCTTCCAGCTCCTCTGCTTTCCCCCTTTTTCCTTTTGTGGTACCGAAGATTGAATTCAGGACCTTGGGCATGCTAGGCAAATGCTTCTACCACTAAACTACATCCCTAGTTCTCTTTGTATCTTTTGGTTTTGAGATAGGGCCTTACTAAACCACACCAGCCTTGAACGTACTCTGTAGCTCAGGCTGGCCTCAAACTTGTGATTCTTCTGTTTTAGTCTCCGAAATGAGTAGCTGGTATTATAGGTCTGTGCTACCAAGCCTAACCACTTTGTATTTGTATCCTTATTTTGGGGCCCAGTCTTACTGGGTTGCCTAGGTTGGCCTCAAACTACTAGGCTAAAGACATCCTCCTGTCCCAGTTTCCCGAGTAGCTCAGCCCATCATCACACTTGGCTGGTATTTACTTCTATATACCTTTGTTGACACTAATTGATATTTCCTGTTTTTTTTTTCACCTTGGCTTTTATTTCTGTCCTCCTAACATTAACACACATGTCTGTTGGCACACAATCTTCCTAGCCGGCACAGTCTGTGTGGTACTGCCCCCATGGAAATGGAGGAGCGCTTAGAGCTGACCCACTTCGCTCTTCCGGGTCCTTTTTCTTCCTCTTACAATGTAGCCAGTCCAGTGGCTCACCATCATACTCACCTTAGCTCATCCCTCGGGGCCACCGACCTACTTCTGCCTGGCCTGCCTGCTGCCCTCATGGCTGGCTTGACTGATGCTTGTTGTCTAAAGAGGGACCTTGGCATTGCGTCAGGCCCTTGCAGCTTCTCTCTCACAGGTGGGAACCGCGGTCATGTTCTGACTCATGGTAGATAGAGGTCATCTTATCAGTTAAGGAAGGATGAGTGAAAAGTTGAAGTTCTGAGACCACTGTTTAAAAATAATCGTAATTTCTGAGTTTGTGATGATGGTTCATTGTTTCTAAACTATCTGGAGGCATTGCTCCATTGCTGTGACTTCTGATTCTTTTGTTTGTTTTGTTTTTTTCCAAGACAGGGTTTCTTTGTTTTGCCTTGTCTGTCCTGGAACTCACTGTGTAGACCAGGCTGACCTCAAACACACAGATATCCACCTGCCTCCGCTCAAAGTGCTGTGATTAAAGGTGTGAGCCACCACCTCCCTCCTTGACTTCTGATTCTTGAGCCGTACCTTTAACCGCCCTGAGGAGGGCTGTTAGGACCTTTAACCACCCTGAGGAGGGCTGTTAGAATCTTTTGTCTCTCCTCACTCTCAGGAATTGATGCAGGTCACCTGAAAGTCCCTAGAACCAAACTCTTAAATTTAGTTTCCTTTATTTTGTATTTTATGTGTGTGTGTTTTAGTTGTATATGTGTCCTTGCATTGTGTCCATGCAGTACCCTAAGAGGGCAGAAGAAGCGTTGTATCCCCTGGAACTGGAGGTTGTAAGCTTTCTTGTGGGTGCTTGGAACAGAACCTGGGTTCAGGAAGAGTAGCCAGTGCTTTTAACCGTGGAACTGCTCTTTAGTTCCCAATTTCCCTGTTTAATTCTGGGAAGCCTTCTTGAATTATTATTATTATTGTTGTTGTGAATTATTATTATTATTGTTGTTGTTGTTGTTGTTATTTAATTTCATTTCTCTTTTGGGGGGGTTATGGTGCTGGAAGTGGAATTCAATACTTTGTGTATCTAAGAAAACACTGTGCAACTGACCCTCTAGTTTATTTCTTTTAGAAATTAAAAAAAAGGTAAATAAAAACTATTCACACTTATAGTTTTCCTTGCCATGTTTTCACAGTTGTATGCAGTGTGTAATGCTGAAATCAAGTTAAGCATGTGTGCCATCTCAAACTCTGGGCAGCTCAGTTGGTAGAGGGCTTATTTACATGCATGAAGCCCTGAGTTCTGTCCTCAGCACAAACAGATGTGGCGGTGCTTGTAATTCCAGCCCTTAGGTCGAGGCTGGAAGTTCAGGAGTTCCAGGTCAGCCTGGGATAGATACATAAGACCTTGTTTCAAAGAGCAAAAAGTATCAAGCTTATTGTTAATGTAATTTTTTCTTTCCTGTTTTAGGCCCAGGCTGACTAAACTCTGAATCGTCCATGTACTGGGAATCACAGGAGGGCATTACCCTCTTCTTGCAAAAGTATTAGGTTCTTGACAACAGTATACTGTATTCATTCTCCTTGTAAAAGATATTATTAGAGGGTTTTGTTTCTCTTTGTGTGTTTAGCAGAATATACCCTCCCCCTTTTTGTTTTGTTTCTTTTTGCTTGTAATTCTGTATCCCTCTCTGGAGGCCTTTCTTTTTTTTTCCCAAATGAATGGGATCTGCTGGCTTCTTTTTCTTATTTGAAAAATGGCTGTGCTAAGTTCCTTTTAAGTTCCTGGTCCCATGTTGGAGGAGGGAGTGCTTGGTTAGTAGGAATTCTCTAACTTGCTAGCCATCTTGCTTTGAACAGTAGTGAAGACTGCCCCCAGATTTACTTTTGTGCTACTGGGGATCCAGTACAGGGCTTCTCCATGCTAGGCAAGTGTGTCACTGCTGGTCCACAGCAGCTAAAATGTCAGGCTGCCGGCCTGTCTCCAGTTCCTTAGTCCATAGTCACGTTTTTCAACTACATTTTACTTATTTGGTTAGGTTTACATGAGCCTTATTTTAGACAACCTGTTTAAAGTTAGGAAAGTCATCCTGCCCCATTTCCCCCTCATGCCTACCCCTCGCTCTTGCTGCTTCTTGTATCTCAGCATTTCTTGGTGGGAGGCAGAAGCTTTCAGAAGATGTTTTTCCTCTAGGAGTTCTCAGATTCAGTGGTGTCCTTTCTGTCTTTACTCATTCACTCTACTGGACTCTTTGAGTATGGAAGCTTCTTGCAGATCAAGATTTCCTAACACTACTTAAATCTATTTCCTCTGCTTTGTTTCACTGTTTTTCTTCTCTCCCCTTCTCTTATTGAACCTCCTCCCAGCCCTCTTTTCTCTCTGTCTTTGAGACAAGGTTTCATACTCTAGCCCAAACTAAATTCACATTGTTAAGAGTTTCCTGCCCCAGACTTCTGAGTACAAGGATTATAGATTTATCTCACCGTACCCAGGTTGTTTTCTTTCTTTGTTGGCTGATAATCCTCTTGAATCAAGCCTCCTAACATTTTAAATTAAAAATTTTATTTTATTGCTGATCATGGTGGTCCAGGCCTTTAATCCCAGCACTCAGAAGGCAGAGGCAGGTGGGCCTCTGTGAATTTAAGGTCAGCTTGATTTACACAGTGAGTTCCAGGACAGCCAATGCTATGTAGTAAGACCCTCTCTGAGGAAAAAAAAGAAATTGTTTTATGTGTATAAGTATTTTGCCCATATGATTATGGT